TGACATTATATAGACTCAACAGTTTATATTCAGAAACATATATGTATATACAAAAACGTTATGTATGCGATAATAATTTGTGAAAAGGAGGCCATGAAACTTGAAGGAAGTTAGCAGGGATATGTGGAGGCATGAGAGGGAGAAATGTTGCAACTAAAATGCAATCACAAAAATAACCATAGATATACAGGATTTGCCTTCACTTTTCCAATGTGCTCTATGATACAAATGAGAAGTTATAGGGTAAGAAACCTCATTTGTCATGAAACCAACAATAAATGCAATTGGAACTCATCAAATTTCTTAGCTTAACATGGTTTCTAGGAAAGGACATGGGTTTTGCAAGAATTACCTCATTCCTTAAATAGATATGACCTAGTGTTATAGGTGCTTCTATTTCTTCTTAAATTCCCGAGTTGAAATGTAGCCAACACGATAGTCACAATGAGAGGTAGAGATGTTAAGGTGATGTGTTTTTGAGGTTGATTTGTTCATTGGTAGGACTAATATTCTCAGGAAGTCTCTGCTCAACATAGGGCACCATTGTAACCTTCCTCAGACACTGAATCTATGGATTGTTTCACCTATAACCCCAGAGGTTTAAAACTATTAATACAAATAAATGTATGAATGATGCAGTATTAAACTGCCATAAATTTATTATATTGAATATTCTATTTAGGAATTTTAGGTACTCTGCTTTCCTCAGATGCATGGAGTCATTTTTGTAGGAATGAGGCCTCATAGGCTTTTTTCCCTCCAGTTTGACATGCTTGTTTATGACCCCCTTGTTCAACTTGTGTTTGGATGGTCATGTTGGTGAGATTTTATGGCTATATGTTCTCATGTTACTAGGAGATATAATCACAATGTAAAGTCTCTGATCATCTGCTTTTCTAATCTTTTCCCTCCTTCTTCTACAATGTTTCCTTAATCTTGTGTTTGGGAAGGATTTATAGACCTATCAATTGGGACTAGATTCAAAAACTCAAACCTTTTCATTGGTTGTGGTTTTCATTGAATTGTTTAAGGCAACTCCCACTTTTGAATATAATAAATGCTATCTTTAACAAATTCCCAATATAAATATAACCCTATCACCAAGTATAAAAGGAAAATTTCCATTGATTATCCTTATATAGCCATCACTGAAGTAAATTGAATCATGTCACTTGTGCATGTCACAAAAACGTTTTCCTTCATGAGTAAAGAAGACTATATTTACTTGCTAAATTCATAGTTTTTAATTAATAAATATTATCCTATAGTGTATGTGTACTACATTTTCATTATCTATTATGTAGTTGTAGAACCTTAAGATTATTTCAATTTTAGCTATTTTAATAGGGAAATGAACATAATTGATCATATATCTATGGAAAGTGATATTAAGTTCTTTGAGCATATGACAAGGAGTGATATAGTTGGGTCATATAGCATATTTGTTTTAATATTTTGAGAATTTTTTAAACAAATTTCCAAAATAGATGTTCCACTTTGGAATCCAACAGTGAATTATGCTTCCCTTTCCCCAAAATACTCTCCAGAATTTGTTTTTGATTTTCCTTTCATTTTGATGGCACATCCCTTAAAAAAGTAGATTGGTTTTGAAAGTTCTGATGTCTTTATGAAATTCAGTCTTCCTATGAAGTTATATTTCATGTTTGGTTTTTGCTTCATTTTTCTGAATCATGAAGACAGAAGTATCTCACAATTATCACTGACTTCTTTTAGGCAACTCATACTTTTTGAACATTGTAGATTACATTTCTAAAACCCTTTCCTAAAATAACAGAACCTCCAAGTATAAATTTAAAAATTTACTTTATTATTCTTAAATATAGTCATCACAGAACTAAATTATATTGTGAGGCCTCATTTTTGCATATACAATATCATCTTTTAAAGCATCTTCTATTGGTGTGTTCACATGACATGTTTGTGTGGGCTTGTGAGTCCTGGTGCATGTGAATAATTCAGAGGACATCTCTGTGGATTCAGTTATCCTTTTTCACTTTTAAGTGGATTCAGAGAATCGTGTACATATTATCAGGCTTGAGTAAAAAGGATTTGTGTTGATTTGAATGAGAATGGCCCTCATGGGTGTATAAATTTGAATTCTTGGTTCACAGTCAGTAGAAACTTTGAGGAATGATTAGAAGGCTTCATCTTTTTTGTAGGAGGTATGTTACTGGGGGCAGGCTGGAGACTTCAAAAGCATTCTGCTTCTCCCAGTGTACTATCTATGTTTTCTCCTTGTAGATCAAATATAGGCTGTCATCTACTGTTCCAGCTTTATGCTCTCTCATCTGCTCTGCTATCAGAGACTCTGTCTTGTACTGAAAGTTCCAAACAATACCATTAATCTACAAGTTACCTAAGCAATGATGTTTTAATCAGACAAATATAAAACTCATGAAAACAGCATGCCCTCAAAGTGGCTTTTCATGAATTCTTACTTTAAATTTAGGTGCCAATTGTAGCACAAAAATATTGAGGTTCAACCTGAAGATCAGGGAAGCCAACCTATTGGCCACTAGCTCTCACCTCTAGCTCAGGCTGAAAGGGCTGATCCACAAGCTCTTGATGAACCCTCAAAGTGCTGCCTCTCCCCAGCATAGCTGGAGAATCAATGCTCCTATCTATCTTCAGTGTGACTGGAGAATGAATGCCTGATGTTGAGTCCTTGCCTCTGTCTTTTATACCTCTCACGAGTCCTGGGATTAAAATTGTGAGCTATAATTCTCTTCTAGACTGATTTAGTCTTGGGTGACCTTGGACTCAGAGAGACCCATTTTTTCTTAATCCTGAGTCCTAGGATAAAAGTTGTGTACCACCACCTCCTATCTTCTGTCTGTTGTGATTAAATGTTTCTGTCTGGCTTCTATGGCTTGTGGCTGACTTTTCTTTCTGAATCCTCAGGAAAGATTTAATAAACCATAAATAAATAATATTTATTTATTATTAACTACAGATATGTTGGTGAGGTCCATGAATACCATCAGTTTAATTCATTTCAAATTCAGGAGATATCCTGTTTCAATTTTCTGACATTCAAGTACAGAGGAAACCTCTCTGATAACCTAGCAGGAGGCCAAAAATTGTGAGTTATTTTCCAGATAGCTCAGTTTTTAAAAAAATCTAAGTTCATAAGTTTAATTTTAATTGTGTCTTTGTGTTAAATCCATTTATATAAAATATTTTCCTGTATTCCAAATGGTAGATAAATACCTCAGGAATGGATAGTTATTTTTCATTTTCAGTTTTACTGCTGTTTTTCTTGATTATTATCATTATGGTGTTTCATTACTATTTTAATAAATTGTGTAATAAGCACTTATTTAAAATTTTAATCTGTGGAAATCATAGGTCATACATATCTACATACATAGAGACAGATATAGACACAAACACAGATATATAAACACAAAAGAAAAACATTTAACCCTGTGGGAAGTCATGGAATGTCACTGATTATTACTTATCTTGCAACTATCATGTCTTTTTCCTATTCCTAAATTATTGAACTCAGAATATATGCAGGGATCTCCAGTATGGCAAAAATGATGGAACAACATGAACAATAAACCCAGGCATAAAAACTTTTCTGTCTCTATGGAAATAAATTTAGATAAATCTTAAAATCTAAAAATGAATCTACCAAGAAGCCCAGCTATACCATCCTTAGCATATCCCCTACGAACACAGCATTCTACTCCAAAGCCCCTTGCTCAGTCATGTTCAGCCATGCTCAGTGCATCTCTACTCACAATAGCTAGGAAATAAAACAATCAAAATATCCTTCCTCTGATAACAAATATGTACTGCATATACAAACAATAATTCTCTACTAATATATGAAGAAAATTTAAGTAACAAAATTTTAAGTAAATGTATGAAATTAGAACACTTTACATTGATTCAAAGACATGCTCCTGTATTACTGTGGAGGAAAAGTGTGAGGGACAGAAAAGCTGGGTTGACATATTTTAACCAAATGAATAAAGTATAGTATGTTTATTGATACATTTCAACAATTATTCAGTCTTAATTCTAAAAAATGAAAAATTCACAGAAATGGGTAGGCTCATGGGGCTGTAGATACCTAATATAAAGATTTAGAAAGATGTGATTAATCAGTGAAAGTAAAGTCCATCTTATTGAAAGAAGCAAATTAATTCTGAAGACCTAATTCTACTAAAACCAAGAATGAGCTTTTGCAGAGACATGACCATACAGGAAATCTTAATATAGAATCTACCTAAGCTTCAGGTGAGGGTAGTTCAAGAAGAGCTGTGCATTTTCTTTGTTTTGACATATTGTTTATATTCTTTTCTTTGGATTATCTGAGAATTTGCTGCTGTGAATGGCAGAGATAGGATTTTTTCAAATATCAAATGGTGGCAAAAAATACGCACAAATGGATAGTCTCCAAAAACATCAATACAGCAAATTAAGCTAATGCTTAATAGGTGAAGACTTACAGAGAGAGTTTGAAACTGTTGAAAATTTTAAAGATGATTGAATAATTGCAGTTAAATCATAGGGTTACAGTGAGTACATGAAATAAGTATATGAATATATTTAATGGAAATTAGAAAACATGCAAATATATGTAGAATTTAATGCATTCATATATACAAAAATACAATGGAATAACAATAATTTTGGAAAAATGTGTGTGAGACAGTGAAATACAGACATTCCAAGTTCCGTTTTGATACAATAGTGTCAGAAAAAATATCTAGACTGGGCAAACAAGCGATAACCTCCATGATAACAGGAAGGATGTACATAGTTAAAGCAGGAATCACATATTTCTGAAAATAAAGTGGGGGAGTAAAAGGTAATAGGCTGATGGCTACAGTTTGTAGTGATTCAAATGTTAGAACAATCCCAGAGCCATATGTCCATAAAAACAAAAGGAAGAGTTCAGTTTGGTGATTGATTGAAGCATATTTTAACTGTCCCAAGATCCCCAATTTAGGAAATAAACAGGTTTAAGTTTCAGAAGACATTTTAGTTTCAAAATGTTTCTTATTCCTACAATGATAACTATAAATTCTTTCTGACCTTAACAAAATAACATAGCACTTTGGGAGAAAAATGCATCCAAGTAGCCCAGCACCAGAAGCCAAGATAGATATTACTTCAGTGGCCACCACAGACTTGCCCTTGGTGCTTTGGTAGACAGGAAGGAAAGTGACCCAGACACTACAAAACATAAGCATGCTAAATGTCAGGAACTTGGCTTCATTAAAAGTATCAGGCAAGTTTCTCACCAGGAAAGCCAGAGTGAAGCTCCCCAGTGCCAGGCAGCCCAGGTATCCCAGGACACAATAAAAAGCAGTGACTGAACCCTTGTTGCACACAATGATGATGTGATCATATTCTGAGTGTATATCTATTTCAATAAAAGGAGGTGATGTCCCCAGCCAGATGACAATGAAAAGAAGTTGTATCAGAGTGCAGAAGGGTACTATGAAGTTTGGTACTCTTGATGTCAGTAACCACCTCATCCTTCTTCCTGGAGAAGTAACTCTGAAGGCCAGTACCACAGTAACTGTTTTGGCTAAGACAGTGGAAATAGCCACAGTGAACACAACTCCAAATACAGTCTGCTGCAGAATGCAAGTGGCTGTGTTGGGATGACCAATGAAGAGCAAAGAACAGAGAAAACAGAGAGTGAGGGAGATGAGCAGAATATAACTAAGTGTTCGATTATTAGCTTTGACAATTGGAGTGTCTCGGTGTTTTACAAAGACCCCCAAAACAGAAACTGTCAGTCCAGAGAAACACAAGGATAATGAGGTTAAAATCATCCCCAAGGTGTCTTCATAGGATAGGAAGGTCACATGTTTTTTAATGCAGTGAATTCTCTGCATGTTAGCATATTGATTATCCGCACACCTCAAACACTGCTCCATATCTATTGTGAAATAAAAAGTTTTGAGGGAAATATATTAGTAAGGGACAGAAAATGGAAAGATTCCCCAATTAGATATCTGTTGTCATCAAATGAGACCTTCAGTGCTTGGAATATTAGGTTACATCTAATGGAATATAGGCCATTACCTGGGATTTTATTGTTCTCAACAGACTAATAGTAATGTCCTCTTGCTAAAGAGAAAATGATGGGTTGCCTAACTAGAGATTTCAACCCCAAGGACTAAGGTCAATAGTAGTGAAACTTACTCTGAAATCTACCACAAGAAAATGTTAAATACTACTCTAGGTATAAACCCTTTGATCAACAATTGTTGATGAAAGTTTCCACCCCACCACTCTAGTCCCACAACTGCTTCAGTCCAAAATAAACACAAAGACACAATATTAATTATAAAATGTTGGCTGATGGCTTGGGCTTCTTATTGGCCAGCTCTGTCTTAATTATTAAACAATTTCTATTCATCTATGTATTTCCACATGGTTTTGGCTTACCAGAGAATGCCTGGCATATCCTCTCTTCCTGAACTCTACAAAAAGACTCTGTCTGCCTATGTTTCCATTAATTCTCTTCATCTCCTAGCCCTGCCTATACTTCCTGCCTGGCCAATCAGCCCATCAGTGTTTTATTCATCAACAAATAAGAGAAACATGCATACAGAAGGACATCTCCCATCAAAGAAGATACACAGGTGCAACAGCAGACAAACATTGTGGGAGTAATCAACCACTATTTATTCAGATTTAGGGTCTATGAGAGAACACATGCCTGGCATTGCTCTGGTGCATAAGAACAGACCATTAGATAGGTCATAGACGGAGGAGAAAATCAAACACTGCTGTTTTGCTGATGGAATGCATCAATAAAATAACAGATAACAACATTCTGCTGTCTTGCTCAGAAATCATCAGAAAAGCTTCATCATGCAGTAGATTTGAACAAATACAAAGACCCAGAACTTAACTTAGAATGTTCAACCCTTAATGAGATGCCTATCAACCTCCCTTCAGGGTTCAAGGATCTTTGCTGAAAAGGAAGCTGAAAGTTCATAAAAGCCAATGGGGATGGAAGGGTTCAAAGAAGCAATGCCTTATAGGCACAATAGGGCTGACACCTGTAAGAACTCAGTCTGTGGCAGTACACATTGGGCTGGCACAGGTCTATTCAAAAATGGAGATTCCAAGCTGAGAGTGGAAGTGGACACAGACCTCCATATAACACAGAAACTATCTAATAGTACCCATAAAGGAAAAATTAATTGTCTCCAACAGGGTCTCATTGGGTATACAAATCACATTTAAGTGCATATCTTATGCCTAGAAATAGATAAATAACAAAAAACCAACTATTTTCTTTAGTTTTTTGTTAATATTTTGTTGTTGTTTTGATATGGTGTTGTGGTTTATTTTTGTTTCCTAATGCTTTGTCTGGGCACTTTTTTTTCTTACAGGTATTTTGCCTGTATATCATGGTTTCTGATTATGGATTTTTATGGGATTTCTCAGTGTGTGAATATGTGTATCTCTACAAAATCTTGTGTGTTTTTATGACTTTTTATTTATTTGTTTGTTTTTGTCTTATTCTGCTTTGTTTTGTTTTCTTTTATTTGCTGCTGTTTTATTTTGTATTCCCATTTGTTTTTTAATGAAACCTAAAAAGAAATGTGTGAATTTGGATAGCTAGAGAAGTGGAAAGAATCTGGGAGGAGTTGAGAGAGGAAAAAAAATGATAAAAATATTTCAAAATCTTTTATAATCTTTATTAGTAAAGGCATCAAAGTAAATATAAGAATTAAAACCAAAATTAAGCATACCAGAAGCCTATTAAAAAAACCATAGAATTAAAGGATTTAAAAACTAATTCCAAGCCAATGATACCATGAAACAAGATGGTGTCACTCTCCCAAAATCTTACAAAATGGACTTCAAACAAAATTAATCAGAAGACATTAAAAAGAAAACTTCATTCTAATCAATGGACCAGTAAGCCAAGAAGACATTACAATCTTAAGCACATGAAGTCTACACACAGGCACACCCAATTACTAAAGCAATATATTTCTAGAAATCAAGGTACTGACTCCAGTATTATTGAATTCGATGTTCTGCATTGTCAGACATCTTATCTAGGCAAAGTAAGTGGAGATACAGAACGACTAAATGAAACTATAAATCAAATGTATCTCACCTATACACCAAAGACTAAAGAATATACATGGCATCCAGCAGCCCATGAAAGTTTCTATGAAATAGATGACAAGTCATGTATATTAATAATACAAAAAGGGACTGGTGAGATGACTCAGAGGTTAAGAGCCCTGGCTGCTCTTCCAGAGATTCTGAGTTCAATTCCCAGCAAACACATGGTGGCTCACAACCATCTATAATGAGATCTGGTGGCCCCTTCTGGTGTGCATGCATACATGCCCCCAGCAGACTGTATACATAATAAATTTTTTAAAAAGGCATTTAATAACACAGGAAAGACAATGGCACAATAAAATTTCAACCACACCATTAATTCTGTTACCCCATAATACAATAAAGCTAAAAACCAACTGCAAATGTACCTTTAGAAGATATGTAAACTGATAGAAATTGTATGACACACTATTGAAAGACAAATATGTCAAGAAGTAAACAAGAAGGAAAGGTACAACTTCTGGAAGCACCTAGAGAAGAAAGCAGAAAACACAAAATATCGTGGACATGCTAAAAGCAGTGCTCTGAGAGAACTATATGTGCCTGCAAAAAAATAAAAAAATTTACAAATACATCTCTTAATTTTTAAACTCCAGACTTATTTAAAACAAAAAATAAGCAGTCCAAAATCTAGTATGTTGTACTATATAATAAAAACTGGTTTGGAAATTAATGCAATAGGAACATAACCAAACAAGAAATGAAACTAATAGCTAATCCTACAAAAAGATAAACAATTTTGACAATATCTTACAAAAATTAAACAAACAAAAGACATACAATAAATAAAAATCAGACATAATCAGGAATATATTACAACAAACACCAAAGAATTTCACAATGATATAAGGAAATATTTAACAGCCTACATCTCATTGGACTGGAAAAAGGTTAAACAAGCAAATCAATACAGATCTGAATGATGAAGAAAACCTAAGAAGAAAGGAGCAGTGTAAAAATACAAACACAAATAAGATGATAGTTCCAGGACTAAAACGCCTTCAATCTGAAAGAGACCTGTTTCAAATGTATTCAAAATGTAAATCTAAGAGACTTTCAAAAGAAGAATTACAACTAATACTTCGGTAATTATTCCAGAAGACAAAAAAGAAAAGCAAAACAAAAAATAACACTTGCAAACTATTTCTAAGACATCAAAACTATTCCAATAACAAAACTGGGGTATAAAATTAACAACTATGAAAATTAATTATGAACCAGTATTACTGATGAAATTGATTCTAAACTCTCAATAAAATAATTGCAAGCCAAACATTGGTATAAAGCAAGCATATCATCCAACCAAGTAATGTTGGATGATCCCACATATGCAAGTTAATAAAAACAGTATATTATACAAATAGACTTAAAGACAAAAATAACATAATGACCACAGTTGTTGAGCAAATACCATTAATAAAAATAAGCCTGCCATTATGCTTAAAGATCTATGGAGGAAAGATAGTAAAGGAAAACAATTCAATATAATTAAGAATAGATTTGACTAACCCCAAACCAGTACTGTCCTAAAGAAGAAAAACTAAAACCATGCCATTAATATCAGAAAAAACTTCACTGTGTATATGCTTAATTACACTGGTTCTAGTCATAGCTTGAAAAATTAAATAGATAAAGAAGATGAAGGGAAATAAATCGGAAATACTGCACATTATTGGTATCTGCATATGTGATAGCACATACAAAATAATCAATAAATACCACCAGGGAACTTACTAGATATGATGAACATGTCATTTTGCAAAATTGTAAGATCAAAACTCAGTAGATTTCTAGAGACAGATACATTATATGGAGTAAAAGAAATGATAAAGATGCTTTCATTCACATTCCAGTTTCACAAGATAAAAGACAAAAACTAAAGCTACCTTATGTACCACATACAACCACCATTCCAACCCACATTTTGGACACCATGTATCAGGTTCTAATCATATAAGACCACCTCATCTTCTCCTCCACAACATTTTCCCAACACCCAGACTGAGTTAAGGCCGACATCCAATGTTCTAGCCTATTCTGAATAACTGATCTATTCTAGTCTAGCATTTGTGGTCTGGACACAACCCATGTCTCCCTCCAACGACCTATATATCCCTTGAATACCACACCAAAACTCTCTGCCCAGACAGATCCTACACATCTTGTTTCCATTTCTAGACAGATGAGTCTGCCAAAGCCTGCCCTTCATATACCCAACCAAACCCCCAAGATTAAACCTAGGCCTAATCCATTGTTCTGGTCTAGATGGGACAACCCTGCTTGCACTATTCTCTGTTCTAGGCATGAACCTGTGCATATATCCTGAATGTCAGCCCTATCTATGATGTTCATTTGATTTCATTCCACTTAAGCCATCTCCAAATTTTAAGTCCAACCCAAACTGCACATTCTGTGCTCTATTCCATCCTCCTGTGTCTACATCTGTCAGTGAAAACATGATTCTACATACTCTGCCCTCATCACAAAAATGCAAATAAAATAAAAAGATCAAGACATTACCACATCCTCCTTGAATTCACCTGTCTAACAAAAATGATGTCCAATAAGAATTACCCAGATGAAACATGGGACAAAAAGTTTGAGAGAATGATTATAAACATCATAAAAGAATGAATGAAGTTTAAATAAGACATGAAGAAAGAGTTGAGTAACTTTTCAAAAGTATGAACTTCAGAAGAATGGACTCATGAATAATCTTCATGGAAACAAAAACATTACATTGACTAAAATGATGGAGACAACCCAGGACTTAAAAACCAATTTCTAATTAATTAATTCTTGTCATACAGGTCTTTCACTTGTTTGGTTAGAGTTTCCCCAAGATATTTTATGTTATTTAAGACCATTGTAAAGGGTAATGTTTTTCTGATTTCTTTCTCAGCCTGCTTATCATTTATATGTAGGAGGGATACAGATTTTTGACTGATCTTGTATCCTGCTACATTACTGAAGGTGTTTATCAGTTGTAGGAATTCCCTGATAAAATTTTGTATCACCTATGTATATCATGAGCAAATAGTGAGAGTTTGACTTGTTCTTTTCCAATTTGTATCCCCCCAATCCTTTTGTTGTCTTACTGAGCTATGTAGAACTTTGTGTACTACATTGCATAGATATAGAGAGAGTGGAAAACCTTGTCTTGGGCCACATTTCAGTGAGTTCATTTTGGTTATCTCTCCATTTAGTTTGCTGTTGGCTTTTGGGTTACAGTATATTGCCTTTATTGTTTTTAGGTATGTTCTTTGTATTCCTATTCTCTCCAAGACCTTTAACCTGAAGGGGTGTTGCCTTTTTCAGCATCTAGTGAGATGATCATATGTTTTTTCTTTTTTTCAGTTTGTTTATATGGTGGGTTACATTGATGGATTTTCATATGTTGAACCATCCCTGCATCTCTGGGATGAAGCATACTTCATCATGTTGGATAATTTTTCTGTTGTGTTCTTGGAATCAATTTGGCAGTACTTTATTGAGTATTTTTGAATCAATGGTCATAAGGGAGATTGGTTCTGTAGTTCTCTTTCTTAGTTGTGTCTTTCTGTGGTTTGTATACCAAGGTAGGTGCAACCTTATAAAAGGAGTTTAGCAATGTCCCTCTGTTTCTACTGTGTGGAACAATTTGAGGAGTATTGGTATTAGCTCTTCTTTGAATTTCTGTTAGAATTCTGCATTGAAACCATCTGACACTGGGCTATTTTTGGTTGGCAGGCTTTTGATGACTGCTTCTATTTCTTCAGGGGATATGGGTCTATTTAAATTGTTTACCTGTTCTTGATTTAATTTTGGTAAGTGATATCTTCCAGAAAATGTCCATTTTCCTTAAATTTTCCAATTTTGTGGAGTACAGGTTTTCATAGTATGACCTGAAAATTCTCTGGATTTCCTCAGTGTCTGCTGTTAATATTCTTTTTATTTTTGATTTTGTTAATTTGGATCTCTCTCTCTATCTGTTGGCTCATTTAGATGAATGTTTTTCTATTTTACTGAATTTCTCAAAGAAGCAATTCTTTGTTTCATTGATTCTATTGTTTTCATTGTTTCTATTTTTATTGATTTCAGCCCTCAGTTGATTATGTCATATCATCTGTGACTTTGTTTCTTTTTGTTCTGGAGCTTTTTGTTCTGGAGATACAAGATTCTTTTTGTTCTGGAGTGTTTTGTTAATTTTCTAGTGTGGTATTTCTCCAACTTCTTTAGGTGGCTGTTTAGTGTTATGAACTTTCCTCTTAGCTCTGATTTTATAGAGTCCCATAAGTTTGGGTTTGTTGTACATTCATTTTCATTAAATTCTGGGAAATCTTTATTTTTTTCTTTATTTTTCCTTGACCCAAGTTAATTAAGTTGGACATTATTCAGTTTTCATGTGTTTGTAGGCTTTTTAGAATTTGTGTTGTATCTGAATTCTAACTTTAAGCCATGGTGATTCAATAAGATACAGGGGGTTATTTTAGTGTTTGTGGTGTGTGTGTGTGTGTGTGTGTGTGTGTGTGTGTGTGTGTGTGTGTGTGTGTAGATTTGCTTTGCTTTGTAATTGAGTATGTGGTTGATTTTAAAGAAGGTTCCTTGGGGTGCCAAGAAGAAGGTGTAGTCTTTTGTGTTTGGGTGGAATGTTCTATAAATATCTGTTAAGCCCATTTGAGTCATAACATCTGTTAGACCCCTTACTTCTATGCTAATTTTCTGTTTGGCAGACCTGTCCACTGATAAGAGTGGGATGATAAAGTCTTCCATTACTAGTGTGTGGGTTTTGATGTGTGGTTTACAGCTTAGTAATGTTCCTTTTATTAATGTGGGTGCCCTTGTATTTGGGGCTTTCATGTCCAGGGTTGAGAATTCTTGCTGGTTTTTTCCTGTTATGAATATGAAATGTCCTTCATGATCTCTTTTAATTACCTGCACTCTAAAGTGTCTTTTCATATAAGATAGCTACACCAGCTTGCTTCTTAGGTCCATTTGCTTGGAAAGTTTTTTGACAACCCTTTACTCTAAGGAAATGTCTGTCTTTGAAGTTCAGGTGTGTTTCTTGTGTGCAGCAAAAGGATGGATGCTGTTTTTGTATCCATTGTGTTAGGCTCTATCTTTTTATAGGCAAGTTGAGTTCTTTGATATTAAGTGATATAATGACCAGTGATTGTTGATACATGTTATTTTTTGATAGTGGTGATATGTGCATTTCCTTTCCTTAGGTTTTTCTGTTGTGGGATTATTTATTGCCTGTGCTTTCCTGGGTACCTTTAAACTCCTTGGCGTGGAGTTTTCTTTCTAGTACTTTCTATATGACTGGATTTGTGGATAGGTATTTCTTAAATCTGGTTTTGTCATGGAATGTCATGTTTTCTCCGTCTATGGTAATTGAAAAATTTTCTGAGTATAGTAACCTGAGTTGGCATGCATGGTCTCTTGAAGTCTGTATAATGTCTGTCCAGTTCCTTCTGGCTTTGAGATTCTCCATTGAGAAGTCACATTTTATTCTAATAGGTCTTCTGTTCTATGTAACTTGACATTTTCCCTTTGCAGCTCTTAATACATTTCTTTATTCTGTATATTTTGTGTCTTGTTATTATGTGGTAAGGGGACTTTTTTCAGTCCGGTGTATTTGGTGTTTTGTAAGATTCTTGTATCTTTATAGAGTTTCTTCTTTATATTGGGAAAATTTCCTTCTATGATTTTGTTGAATATATTTTCTGTGCCTTTGAGTGGAACTTCTTCTTCCTCTTCTATCCCTATTATTCCTATATTAAGTTTTCTCATGGTTTCACAGATTACCTGCATTTTTGGTGTTAAGCATTTGTTGGAGTTGAAATTTTCTTTGGCAGACAAATTTATTTCCTGTATCATATCTTCAATGCCTGAAATTCTCTCCTTCATCTCTTGTATTCTGTTGTTTATGCTTCAATTTGTGGATCCTGATCATTTACCCAGATTTTCCATTTCCATAATTCCCTCAGTTTGTGTTTTCTTTATTGCCTGTATTTCAGATTTCAAGTCTTGAATCATTTCTTTCACTTCTTTGGTAGCTTTTTCTTGATTTTCTTTAAAGAATTTGTCACTTTCTTTGATTTTTTTGCTTGTCTTTTTCTCCATTTCTCTAAGGGAATTTTTCATTTTCTCTTTAATGGCCTCAATAATCTTTATAAAATTATTTTTAGGTCATTTTCTTGTGTTTCATCTGTGTTGGGATGCTCACTTCTTGCTGTTGTAGCACCACTAGTTTCTATTGGTGCCATATTGCTCTTTACATTGTTGAGTGTGTTCTTACCTTGTTGTCAAGGCATCTCTTCCTCTAATTGGTATAGGTGGAGTTTATGCTTCAGGGGGTCTCTCTTTCATCAATTGGTAGAGTCAGAGGCTGTGACTAAGTGGACTGCTCCTTCGGGAGCAAATAGAGTAGAGCCTCTGCTGAATGCTTCTCCTGGTGGAAGCGGGCCCAAGGCACAGGTGGGCACTTCTTGAGGTATAGGTGGGGCTAGAGCTCTGGTGGATGCTCTTCCCATTGGAGGTGAGGCCACTGCTCCATGATTGCTCCTCTAGGTGTAGGTGGGGCTAAGGGTCCAATGATTGCTGTAGCAGCAGAGTATCTCCAACCAAGAAATGTCAGTGGATGCTGGATGGACACAGGCACCCTTTTCCACAGGAACTTTTAGTGATAGTTTCTGGAAGCCACTACAGGAAAAAAAAGCTGCTGTTGTCTTACCCAGCATTTGCTTCCCACTCCTGGGCCTGAGGCTCACGCCTCCCTCTGTCACTGCTCCAAGACTGAGGCTCAGGCCTCCCTCTGCATTGCTGCCAGGCAAAATTTTGGGTCTCCCCCAAACCAATTTATTAATAAAATAAAGACTTTTAAAAGAACTGAAGATGAAAGACAAGTGAGCGATTCCTCTAATTTTTAAATAAATCTTTTAAATTTTAGTTCCTAAAATTTAGTAACTATCAAGACAGAGTTGTGTTTGTCTTTTGCTTATGATGTATTTTGTACTATTATTTTAATAATAGATTGTTGCAATCAATAAATGCAGAGAAAGAAGTTTATCTTTAAAGATATTTTCTATTTGATATCCATTTTCTTTTTGCTTTTTGTTTTGTTTTGTTTTTTTGGAAACAGGATTTCTCTGTGCTGCTTTGGACCCTGTCCTAGAACTCACTCTGTAGACCAGGCTGGCCTCAAACTCACAGAGACCCACCTGCCTCTCACTCTTGAGTGCTAGGATTAATGGTGTGCACCACCATCGTCCAGCTCAATATCCATTTCTTGCATTTAAAGAGGAATAATAAAGATGATAATTGTGTTCATAATGTTTATACTTACTTGTTTCATTAGAAATTTCATTTTTTGTACAAAGGAAACAATCAAAGCAACAGATAGCCTTCCCTTCCACATGTGCTTTCCTGAATCCAAGACCACAGCTCTCACTGCATAGTGATTGTGGGGTCTGAGGAAAATGAGAGATGCATTAGTTACTGCTCCATCACTCATGCAATGTATCAATAAATACAATGACTCAGTAAAGAGAAACTTTAAAGATAACACGCGCTCTTCAGGAAAACTGATTCTTTAGACATTGTTCTTGTTTGTTTGTACACATGTTCATGGCCTAAATACAGTACTCTCATCCTGATGCTTTCTGAGAATTAGTGGGAACTGTAAGATTTAGATCCTGATAAATGCAAGTTCACTAAATTGGTGCTTTAAAAGGGGATATTTCCAATCTAATACCAGAAGATTGTGCTTGCTACTTCACTATCATTAGAAAATAATTTCCTCTGTCATGCACTTCCACTGCAATACCATGATACAAGACAAATATCAATAAAATGCCTGACTTTGGGGAAAACCATCTATACTCTGTGTGTTGTTACAGATTTAGTTCCTTAAACAATTTTATAGTGATAAATGTTCACCCAGACATTGTACTTGAATCTTATGAAAGACATAAATCTGATGCAAAGATCAGCAAACACAGAAGACCAATTCCATCAGTGTAAACAAAATTCCTAAAATCATAGTTGAGAAATATTCATTGGAGGCCAATAACAGAGCAACCAGAAATCAAGAATAATAAAATCAGGAATGTGATACTAGTTAATTGTTTGTATTTCAAAATATTATTACAGAGCTTCCACCAACCTCTGTAAATCCTAAAGGCCACTCTATCATGTCCCTATGCAATATTAATTGATGGCCAGGTGTAGCAAATGGAGAAAACATTCCTATTTTCAACATGTGTACAAAATGCGTTGGGAAATGGCAATAGTTAAGGATATCATATTCTGCCACATACTTCCTTTTCTCATCCAAAATCACTTGGTTAGAATCCAAATGGTCAGGCTGAATATTCCTTAGAAAGGAGTGCATCTAGGAGAAATGAGTGGCTCAGGTTAACACAGAAAGCAACATGTGGAAAAGCCCTTCATCTCTTTTATTCATTATATCACAGTGCAGAATTAGCACAGCAATAAATAAAGTATAACAAGATTAATAGTATGAAAAACTAAAATATCATAATATTCCCAAGTTCAGTAACATGAAACAAAATGGATTATGAATCAGACTATGATTAACTATTGTTCATCCAGATCTCAATACTGTAGTGAAAGCTTGACATATTCAAAAACAATCTTGACGTACATAGGCCATAAGTATGCTCATTAGTTATTAATACATAAATC